AAAAAAAAAAACGAAAAAAAAACGTCCAGGACCGGGATCGAACCCACGCTTAAAAAATAGCCTAATGGTTTGACGTCAAGCGCGCAGACACGCTGTCACTTCGGCCATCAGAACTTTCGATGTAAAACGATGTGCAGATTAAGCTTCATATTTTACACACGGCGACACGGCGTTTTATTTAGCACTGGCGCTAATCGCAACGTGGCGTTTTATTTAGCACTGGCGCTAATCGCAACGTGGCGTTTTATTTAGCACTGGCGCTAATCGCAACGTGGCGTTTTATTTAGCACTGGCGCTAATCGCAACGTGGCGTTTTATTTAGCACTAGCGCTAATCACAACATGGCGTTGCAAATAGGCACTTCCTTAATAGTTGAGTTATGCCTGCTCCTGCTTATACTATAGTTCCCTCTGTCATTTATTTTCCTGTTTTAACTCTTTTTTTTTCAGTGGTTGAAATCGTTTTACTTCTCTTATTTTCACGTCACTTTCACATGAACAGAAATATTAGATCTAATGCGTTCAAAAAAATTCCTTTTCATGTCTCGCCGCTAATATGTTATGTGGTCTATGCAATCGAACATGTCTGCGCTATGTAATATTTGATTCTCTAACTCCTTATAATAAAAACCCTAGTGTTCTAACAATACAATAGGCTAGCCTACAATTTGATTGATAGCAAGCAGCATAATATATGATCGATCGGTGCCTTGCCAGAGGAGCCCAAAGATCAGGGCATCCACTGAGTCAAGGACCCGAAAAATGAAAACATTGTGAGTGCGCTTCCGCAACGTGTCGCTCTACGTTGATACCGCCTGTCCGCTAGAGTAGGCAGAAGTGTCTTCTTCTTCTTCTTCTTCTTCTTCTTCTTCTTCTTCTTCTTCTTCTTCTTCTTCTTCTTCTTCTTCTTCTTCTTCTTCTTCTTCTTCTTCTTCTATCCCGGGGTTAGGCCAACCTATGGGGACACCATTGCATTGGAAAACCAGCTCTCGCCATCTATTTTTGTCATCTGCTCTCCTCAGATTGTCACCCATCGTCTTTCCTGTCCACTCTGTAATGTTATCCTCCCATCTCCTTCTCTGCCTTCCTCTCTTTCTCTTTCCTTGTACGGTTCCTTGCAGGATTGTTTTGGCAAGTCATGTGGATCTTGTGACAGGCCCATACCATTTTAGTTTTCGTCTCTTCACTGTGATCAGTAGATCTTCATATTACCCCACTGCGTTGATGATTCTCTTTCGTACTTCAGCATTTGAAACGTGGTCTTTGTACGAGATGTCAAGGAGTCTGCGGTACAGGGGCGAAGCTTCTATATTATCAAATAACCACTTCTTCCCTTCCTAATTTTGAAACATTGTCGCTGTCAAATTCATCCATAAACGTAAACCTCTTAAATTAAATGTCAAAAGACGTTCGTAATCAACAATGAACAGTATGCCTAACATTCAAAACGGTTTCACGGCCACAGAAATAGCCTCCTCACCCCTCTCGGGCCACTCCATAAGCAGTCGCAAGCTTTGATTAAGTAAGCTTAAAGTGAGGCTGGAAGAGTCCACCAATATAGTTGAAGGGAACATGTGCATAGCAGTCTAAGCTGTTTCATTGCCACATTATTATACCCTGTTCACCCCTTTGGGGGTCACAGTTATAATCAATCTCAAGCTCTGATTAGGTAAGCTAACTAACACTGGTCGAGTCTACCTCACAAATGTGAGGGGAACTAACTCCTAACAATCTCTTCACTGTTGCAAGTGCTTGCTTTTTTTCCTCGACTTTTTACCGTCCTATAATCAGATCGTGGCCTCGATTATGACACCAGCTCCTGGCCGCGAAAGGCTAACAAAAACAGCCAAATGTAAAATTTAAAAAATGATAATTGTCATGTTCTACCAAAGAGTTAGACTCACTGGTAGATCTATAACATATAGATCTAGTACTGACGTCTCTGCTTCTTTGCTTTGTGTTTGTGTATTCACATCTAAAGTTAAATTTAATTTTAGTTGGAACTGATATTTAATAAGATACTTTCCCGATTATTTTGGCGGTTGAACATACAATATGAATTCCGGATTTGTTTTCATTCACAACTCAGAGTCGCCGCCTCGAGTAAGATTCTTGTGTCATATCTACAGGCCATATCTGGTCCCGTTTCACTTTGATTACCCTGTCAAACAAGTCAGCCTTCGCTCCTGCTGCGGTAACATCTCATTTCTGTTGTCTGAATCTTCTTCTCAAATTCTGCTGTTAGTGTCCATGATTCGCAGGCGTACAAAAATATTCAGATGACCAGTGAGCGCATTAGTCTAATTTTTTAGCTGTGCGTGATGTTTCTGTCCCTCCAAATAGGCTTCAGTTTTGACAGCGCAGCTGTTGTTTACGCGATTCTGGAGAGAATTTCTGGTCTTGAGCCTTCATCTGAGACGATAGATCCGAGGTATTTGAAGCTGTTGAGGGTCTCAAGTTTCTCGCCCCTGACTTTGATGTCTGCATTGATGCCATTGGTGTTATTGGTCATTAGCTTGGTTTTCTCGGCACTAATCTCCATGCCGTAGGCTGCTGAGGTTGTTTCCAGCCGCTCCACTAGTGTGGCGAGCTCCTGTTCTTCTGCTGCTAATCCATCGATGTCATCGGCAAAACGCAAGTTAGTGATTGTCCTGCCTCCAATACTGATTGTTCCATTGTGGTCTTCCAGTGTGTCAGTCATGATTCGTTCTAGGAAGATGTTGAAGAGAGTGGGAGAGAGCAAACAGCCTTGCCTCACCCCGACCGTTGTCCTGAACCAATCCCCCATGCTGCCGTTAAGGTAGACTGCGCTGGAGGCCTTGTCGTATAGTTGTTGTATAACGTTGATCAGGTTGGCGTTGATGTTATATTTCCTCATGGTTGCCCATAAGGCTGAATGCCAGACCTTGTCGAAGGCCTTTTTAAAATCCACAAAGATATGGTATAGGTTTTGTTGGTGTTGGAGGTACCTCTCACACAGTATCCTGAGGTTGAAGATCTGCTCTGTTGTGCTTCAACATAACCTTACTGGGGTGGCTTATTAGACTGATGGTGCGGTAATTCTGACATAGTTGCAGGTTACCTTTCTTGGGGAATGTAATCACTAGTGATTGTGTCCATGCTGTCGGCCACTTTCCTGTCTGCCAGATCTTGTTGCAGATGACAGTCAGAGCGCTTATCTTGTCCTTTCCCCTGCCTGTATCAATTCTCCTGGGATGTTGTCCACTCCTGCTGATTTCCCCTTCTTCAGTGCTTTAACTGCTGCTTCAACTTCTTCTCAAAGGATTGGGTGGTTATCGATGTTGGTTGCTGGGGAAACGTTTAGAATCTGGGGGTTTCCCGTGGCTTTGTAGTTGTACAATTCTGAGCAGTATTCTGTCCATCTGTTCAAAATGTCTAGTTCCTCTGTCAGGCATTTTCCTTGTTTGTCTTGAATGGTGGTGGTGAGTCCTTCTTTAGTGCATGTCAGGTCTTTTACTAATTGATATGCTTTTTTGCTGTTGTTTGTCCTCAGGCTGCTTTCGATTATTTGACATTGTTCCTCGATCCAATTTTCTTTTGCCCTTTTCATACTTGTTTTAATTTTTTTGCTGACTGCTCTGTTCTCCTTTGCACCATCTGGTTGTTCCTTTTTCTCCTTTAGTTTTCTCCTTTTGTCACACAGGTTAAGGATGTCAGTTGTGACCCAGGGCTTATTGACTCGTCGGTGTTTTCCGAGGATCTGACTGGCTGTGTCAGTCACTGCTGCTGCTGTAGTGAAGGTGTTGATCCACGTGTCCATGTCTGTGTCCTTGTTGTTACCAGCATCAACGACAGTGAGTGGAGCACACTTTCCTCCTATCATGGCTTGGAAGCTTCTGCTACTTCTGGGTCCTGTAGTTTTTCCAGATCAAACTTCACCCTTGTGTTTCCTTGCTTTTTAACCCTCTTCAGGTGGAGGCGAAAGGTCATCATCACAAGTTCGTGGTCGCTTCCAACGTCTGCTCCTGGGAATGTTCGTGTTTTTCCAATTTTGACACTGGGCTGGAAGCGCTTTTTCACCATGATGTAGTCAATTTGGTTGTGATGTTCTGCACTTGGACTGTGCCATGTCCATCTCCGTGATGTAGTCAATCTGTGGACTGTGTCATGTCCATCTCCGTGATGTAGTCAATCTGTGGACTGTGTCATGTCCATCTCCGTGATGTAGTCAATCTGTGGACTGTGTCATGTCCATCTCCGTGATGTTGTCAATCTGTGGACTGTGCCATGTCCATCTCCGTGATGTAGTCAATCTGTGGACTGTGATGTTCTCCACCTGGACTGTGCCATGTCCATCTCCGTGATGTAGTCAATCTGTGGACTGTGATGTTCTCCACCTGGACTGTGCCATGTCCATCTCCGTGATGTAGTCAATCTGTGGACTGTGATGTTCTCCACCTGGACTGTGCCATGTCCATCTCCGTGATGTAGTCA